CACTGCCACAGGAGCACTCCCATGGCAGCACTTTGAAGTTTCCAGTGTAGATGTAGCCTAAAAACTTGCATCAGCGCAGCAGCAGCTGTTGGTGCTTCTGGTAAAAATGCTCTATGCCGACAGGAGAGTGCTCTCCCGTCGGCTTAATAACTCCGTCTCTGTGAGAGGCGATATCTATGTTGGTGGGAGAAGCTCTCCCGGGGACATAGCACTGTCTATAGGGGGGGTTAAGGTCGGTATAACTACGTCATGCAGGGGCGTGGATTTTTCACACCCCCAGGGCGACGTAGTTATATAGAAGTGTGTAGTGTAGACCTGGCCTTAGAGACCTACAGAAGTAATGGAGAATTTCAGCCATTTCTTTCTTAAGTAAGGGCTTGTCTACATGGGAAAATGTGCTGAAATAGTTAAACTGCTCTAGTTATATTGGTATAACTCCCTGGGTAGATACTCTTATTCTACAAGAAGTTTTTTTTTTTTCTCATAAGCTAAACTGAAAAAAGAAACTCTTCTTGCAGAAAGTGTGTCCACATGGGGAGTTCTAACAGTGTAACTAGAGCAGTTTAACTATACTGATAAAACTCCCTATGTAGAGCATTTTCTAAGACCTTTTTTCTTGCAGAGGTAGTGAGACAATGTAAGGCCTGATCACGCGCCATTGACTTTAAAGTATAGCAAACTGATTGCTGAACTACTATCACTACACTTAAACCATTTATTACCCTCACAGCTGCCAGGGCTGGCTTCCAGGACTCATTAAAACCCCTGGGCTTGAGCCCCTGGATGTTTGGGAGGAGTGCAGACCACTTTGGTTGCAGCAGAGACTGATGATTCCTGAGCTATTGTCAGTGGTGCTAGGTCTACTGCAGGCTCCTTCCTAGAAGATGGTGGGGTGGATTGGAGCTTCTGTGCATTACGGAGCGGGCAGTAGATAGTATTATGGGGAGGGGCTGTATATGTTATGCTAGTTCCTAGTGTGATAATGTTACTTGTTTGGAGATTTCTGGAATCACTGGGGTTGGGGACAGGGAAGAGCTAAAAACACAGAAATATCTGACGTCAGTTAAAACTCAAATCATGCAGTTGGAGAGGGGTGGAAAGGGAGGACTCTTCTGTTTCTCCCCAAATCTAGTGGGACATGTTTAAGTACCAAGATGCCCTGCTTACTGTCTAGTGACACCATTAATCTTTGTTAGAGTTGTGACAAGCAAGTCATCAGCCCCAACTTTCTCAGTCAGCAGACCACTATGTAAGGGAGAGACCCCCTCTCCATTGATCCACCCAGGGCCGTCCCTAGCTATTCTGGGGCCCAACACAGCGTGTCCCCCCCCGCGGAGGGGGGTGTGGGGCCCCAGGCCTCCATGGGGGTGGGGCGGGGCTGGCTTAGGGGACCGGGGGGAACCACCTCCCAGCACTCACCGGTGGCACGGCTGGGGCTGGGCCCCTGCACTTCCAGCCGCTGGTGAGTGCAGGTCCAGCCTTTCTACACTCCTCAGGGGAGTGGGGGCAGGGCTGGGGTGAAGCAGGGGCGGGAAGGGGCGGGGTGGGGGCGAAGCAGGGCAGGGGCTTTGGGGAAGGGGTGGAGTGGGGGCGAGGCTGGGATGGAGCAGGGGTGGGAAGAGGCGGAGGCCATGGGGAAGAAGTGGACCAGGGATAGGAAGGAGTGGGGTGGGAGCGGAGCAGGGCAGGAGCTTTGGGGAAGGGGTGGAGTGGGGGTGGAGCAGGGGTGCGAAGAGGCGGGGCTGGGGCGGAGGCCATGGGGAAGAGGAGGAGCAGGGGCTGGAGCAGCACGCAGCTGCGCAGGGCGTATGGGTAAGGACGGCCCTGGATCCACCTGTATGGGCAGTCCCCTTTGCTTGTTTCTTAAAACATTTGTCTCATTTACCAAAGTGTTCTTTGGCCCACAGACCTTAGTCTGAGAATCATTCTCTTTAAAGCAGTGTTACGTCCCATATTAGCAAAGAAATTGTGTTCAGAGGTCAGTGGTCGTGGGCTCAATCCTGCGAGGTACTGAGCGCTCTAAGCTCCCATCAACTTCATTGGGTGTTTAAGATCCTGAACACCTCACAGTAGTCACACAGCACACCACAGGATTGGGCCCTTAGACCTGTGGCCCCCGTTCAGGCAAGCACTTAAGCCCGTGCTTAGGTGCCAGTGACATTAATAGCATTTCAGAACACTCTGTGTCTCCCAGAACTGGGTCCACAGACACTTTAAACACAATCTCATTACATTTAAAGTTTAATTAAAGTTGACCCTGTGCTTAAGAGCTTTGCTGAATTATATAAGCCAGATTCATCGCTACTGTAACTCCATTGACACTGACAGGAGGATGTTTGAGTGCTATAGATTTTATGACTTTCTGTAAAACAATAATCATCATAATACTGCATATACTGTTTTGCGTACTGTAATATAGCGGCCCGAGATTCTTTACCTTAGTGACAAAAACACACCTAAATGATTTTATTGTAATAGAGAAAAACATAAGTTTTTGTAATAACTCTAAATCCCAAAGTATATACATATATTCTAACTCTTCTTGGAATCAAGCTGCATTTACATTAATTCGGAACTCTTGCAGGACTGACATCTGGAAACCACGACAAGCCACATCCTGTCTATACTTATTTATTTAAATTTTCTGCAAGTCATAGTGAGCTAAGTACATTCTAGTTGGGGGAGGGGTAAGGAGAAGAAAGTGATGCTGCCGTTTAAATAATAAGAGCAACCTGCATTTAATGCAAAACAATGCTGCATACACTTCTGTTCATTTTTTTATACAGCTGAGTGTGATCATGTATTGTGTCATGAAAAGAGGGGAAAAAGGTCAGCAGCAGCTAGAGGTTTAGAAGCTTTGGGCTAGGCTGTTTTACACAGTTGTGTAACTGACTGAAAAACTTGCTTTAATTTCCTCTAGAGGGAGAAAAACAACCTGTCTGAAAAAATACACTTCCCAATGCCAAGCAACATAGCAGCTGCAGCAGGTGTCTTGTTATCTAGTCTATTCCCATGAGGAAGCAAGTGAGAGTTACTGCTCTGAGAGCTCATCCTGTTCAAACTTGTCCAACAAGGTATATGTAATCACCTCCTCCCTTGTTATTACTGCATGAGTTGACACTGTACTAAATATCACATAACACTCAGGGGCTATCAGCTCATTTAATAATAAAACAGTATCATTAATCTTAATTATTGACTGTCAATTTCAAACTCCTTTTCTTCAACCTTCCTGCAAGGCTCTGCAATTGGGTCTTCCTCCCCTCCTACAATTTATCTTCTACCTACTCCTCTACTGACTGTTTCTTTTGTTTTCTCCTCCCACTTGTGGCTCTCCTTTTTTCTTCCTCAAACTACCCCACTTAACTTTAGAAGAGTCTTCCACTCTCTCTGTCCTGAAAATACCTTCTTCAATCACCTCCTTCAAATCTTTATTTCTTTCAGTTAGTTTTCTACTTTTCTCGTGCCTCACCATTTGACAAAAGAAGAAATGTATGAAATCAAGTGGCATATATAATTTGTTTTCCAGGAAAGTCAATGCTCCCTCAAAAGTAGCAAGTGTGTATGTGTGTGTGTGTGAAAATAAATGGTGATACTCTACCAAGCTCCATCCTAAACACAAATTTTGGCCATGTGATACCAAAATCTGAGATGAAACTCACAGTAGATGTACACATTTTTCTCATATGCCCCTGATCCTGCAAAGATTTATGCACATATATAACACATATTAATTCTTCCCATGGATGAAGTTATGCACGTTTAAATCTTTGCAGGATCTGGGCTTTTGACCTTGTCTACACCAGAAGAGAAGGTGTAGATGAGAGAAGATGTGATAGAGCGATACAAAATAATAAATTGCACAGAGACGGTCAATAGGCCTCTCCTACTTTACCTTTTGAATTATATCTGAACACGAGGACATTCAATGGGAAGGTAAGATACATAGCATGTATAAAAGGAAATACTTTACACAGTGCATAACTAATTGGTGGAACTCACTGCCACAAGATATATTTGAGGCATTCAATTTAGGAGGATTCAAGAAATATATTTATATAGAAAATGTGAACATCCAACATTATATTAGATGGGCTACATTTTTACAGAAGACCATTATGTTTCAGGATGTAAAACATCAGTAACTCAGGGGGAGTAAAAGAAGAGAGAGTAAAATGCCCTCCTGAGGCATTTGAGCCAATGGGAGCACAGCAGAAAGGTTTAATCTTCACTGGTTCCTAAATTGCTGACACTTGGGATTTTGGGACCCTCCACCAAGGGAGTAGAATTGCTTCTTCTGTGGTTCTTGGGCTCTTCTACTGCCTGGTGGTGGTAGGGGGGGCGGTCTGTGACCAGGCCCTGATTTTCAACTTGTGGGTCACGGACCTCTGGGTGCCCCCAGACTATGCCTAAGATTTCTAAAGGGGGCTGTACCGCTATTCCAATTTTTTTAGGGGTCTGCAAATGAAAAAAGGTTAAAAACCACTGCTCTATGGGGATCAGCAGCTCTGGGGAGACAGCATTCTAAGGCAGCCAGCCCCTCTGCCACCCCTTATCCATTTTTCCTTTCTCCGGAGTCTGCAAACACCCCATGCGGTCACCCGCCCGCGCTGTAAGTGAGAGTGGGGTAAGAACAGACTGTCCCGCTCCCGGTGGGCGCGGGGCAACGCAACAAAGGGTACGAAGAAAAGGGAACCCAGGCGCGCGGGGACGGGGGGGGGGGGGAATCCAGGGGCGTGTCCAGCTGAGGCTCTGGCCAATGGAAGCGTCCAGGCGGAGGGCAGGGAATTTAGGCTGATGCCAATTTGTGTAAAACTGAGGGGCGGGGTGGCGAGGCGCTGGCCAATAGAAGGGCGGAGCGGTGGGAATTTTTGGCGGCTCCCGCGTGTGGGACTACGGGGAGCGCGGCGCGGCCAGGTCCCTGGCCAATGGGAGCGCAGCGGGGACGGCCCCGTTCGGGATTGGCGCAGTGCCTGGCGCTGTGATTGGGCAGCCTGGCGTTCTGGCGCCAAATTCGAAGGGAATATAAAGTGTCCCCGGGAGCGCCGCAGCCCCACCGTCGCCTTTGCCTGTGAGAGCCGGAGTCGCCGCCTGTCTCTGCCCGCCATCGCCGCCATGATCCCCGCCCGGGCCCCGTTCTCCGTCCGCAACGAGCAGCCCCGCCTGTCGCCCATGAAGAACCTGGTCCTGACCGACAAGGAGAACACGGTGAGTGTCCCCGTCACCCCGCCCCAGCTCCGGGCGCGGCGCCCGGCCCCTGCCGGATCCTCTCACCAGCCGCTGTCTGTGTCTCTACAGCCCCCCGCGCTCAGCGCCACGCGGGTCCTGGCCACCAGGGCCGCTCGGAAGATCTTCCAGGAGGCGGACGCGAAGCCGGTGAGTCCGGGGCTGGGGATGGCGGGAAGGAGAGTGGGCGGCCAGCCGGGCTGGGGATGGCGGGAAGGAGAGTGGGCGGCCAGCCGGGCTGCAGGGGGAGCCTCCCGCAGCTTTTTGTTTTGGCGCCAAATGCTCCTGTCCGCCAGCGCGCGGGCGGCTTCACCCACCCTTTCTTCCTCCACCTCCCCCGTCCTCTTTGGGCTCTGCCTCCCCCCCCCGCCCTCTTTCCCTACCCGCCCTCAGTCGGGGGAACCCCAAGTCGCCCCACTTTGGGCTCTCCCTCCCCCCCGCCGCCCTTAGGTCAGAAGTATCCCATGCCCGCCTCAGACTAGGGACTGAATGGCTTGGCAGCAGTTTTCCAGAAAAGGACCTAGGGGTAACAGTGGAGGAGAAGCTGGATATGAGTCAACAGTGTGCCCTTGTTGCCAAGAAGGCCAATGGCATTTTGGGATGTATAAGTAGGGGCATTGCCAGCAGATCGAGGGATGTGATAGTTCCCGTCTATTCCGCATTGGTGAGGCCTCATCTGGAGTACTGTGTCCAGTTTTGGGCCCCAGACTACAAGAAGGATGTGGAAAAATTGGAAAGAGTCCAGTGGAGGGCAACAAAAATGATTAGGGGACTGGAACACATGAGTTATGAGGAGAGGCTGAGGGAGCTGGGATTGTTTAGCCTGCAGAAGAGAAGAATGAGGGGGGATTTGATAGCTGCTCTCAACTACCTGAAAGGGGGTTCCAAAGACGATGGCTCTAGACTGTTCTCAGTGGTAGCAGATGACTGAACAAGGAGTAATGGTCTCAAGTTGCGGTGGGGGAGATTTAGGTTGGATATTAAGAAAAACTTTTTCACTAGGAGGGTGGTGAAACACTAGAATGGGTTACCTAGGGAGGTGGTGGAATCTTTTTCCTTAGACCTTTTTAAGGTGAGGCTTGACAAAGCCCTGGCTGGGATGATTTAATTGGGGATCCCTCCTGCTTCGAGCAGGGGGTTGGACTAGATGACCTTCTGAGGTCCCTTCCAACCCTGATATTCTATGAACTCTCCCTCTTTGGGCTCTCCCTCCTTGGAATTCCCCATCTTTTTTTTTTTCTGCCCCTCCTCAGCTGCTTCCTGCCTCTTCTTCCTCCTCCTCTCCTTCCCACCCTCATCCCATCCTTGGGGTGGGAGGTCTCCAATACTGGGAATGTTGAACTCAAGTTTTCCTGTTGTGCCTCCTTTAGTTGAAACCCAAAGCAGTGACACAAGCTCCTAGCAATCTGGAAGATGAGCCCCTCCTACGGGAAAATCCCCACCGGTTTGTCATGTTCCCCATCCAGTACCATGATATCTGGCAGATGTACAAGAAAGCAGAGGCTTCCTTCTGGACAGCTGAAGAGGTGAGGGGCTCCCATTAGTCAATCCCTGCTCTGGTTGCTTCAGTGGACAAACCCACCTGACATTAGCAGTTCAGTCCAGCTCATAAGGGAGCATGTTTTCCCCGTAGTGTTACTTTATTTGCATTGCAATAAAGTCAAGAAGCCTCAGTCATGAATCAGGACCCTATTGTACTAGGTGCTGTACAAACACAATAAAGATTGTCCATGACCCAAAGAGCTTACAGTCAAAGGGTACGTCTTCCCTTAAAACTGTACCCATGTAGTGCTTTTGTGTAGAACTACCTGTGCTGATTGGAGGGGTTCTCTTGTTGGTGTACATAAACCATCTCCCTAAGGTGTGGATTTAGGTCCATGGAAGAATTCTTCCTTGACTTAGTGCTGTCATGGGGACTTAGGTTGGCCTATGCTGGTCAGGGGTGTGGGTTTTTTGCACTCCTGACCAATATAGTTAAACAAATCTAACTTTCTAGTGTTGACATGGCCTAAGTTTGGTAAGAGCCAGCAGTGACTGCTTGTGTATTAAGTGTACTGTTGCCTTCAAAAGATTAATTTATATCAAATGTATGATTAAATAGCTTTGAAAAAAGTGACATAAAACAAGCACAGCTTTCCGTGGTTCTAGGAACCTATTAAACTTCATTTATTGCAGTGGTATTTTAGTTCACAGACCATTGAGAAAATGGGATGTTTAATACACAGTATAACGTTGCTCTAAATATCTATCTAGAAGTACATTCTTTAGTACAATGATAAAATTGTAAATGTCTGCTTTTGTTTTTCAGGTTGACCTTTCCAAAGATATTCAACACTGGGAGTCCCTGAAGCCTGAGGAGAAATATTTCATTTCACATGTCCTAGCCTTCTTTGCAGCAAGTGATGGCATTGTAAATGAGAATTTGGTAAGTACACAAGAGCAATCCTAAAATGGAAATCATTCTGTTAACAAAGTTGTCCAAATAAAACTCCTATTAATGAGAGAGCACCTGTTGAGCTACTTCTGCTGTAAAACCTATTAAATCTATAATCCATTTTTTGGTGAGGGAGAGGGTGGGGAAGTTGCACTCAGTAAATCAGGGATTGCTCTGTAAAACAGGACTCTTGTGTACTTTTTCAGAAACTAAGCTTTCCTTCTTGGGAGGAAAGAGGATGGCTTTGTAAGAATACATGATTTGGGAGTCTGGTAACCTGGCTCTGTGACTGCACTTTTTTTGGGGGGGAGGAGAGGAATGAATCACTTCCACAATCTTGTTTGCTTCATCTAAACTGGTGGCAGTATTTGCTTATCTTATAGGGCAGTTGAGACTGAAATAACATTTATACTGTGATGTAAAATCCTTGTTCATTAGCTGCAGGAGTGCAAAATATTACTATACTTCTATCAATGCTCCACTTTCCTGCCCTGGATAAAGCAGAGATGGGAAAACTGTGCAATGTTACCTTATGGCCAAATACTTAAGGAGTTAAGATGAGATCAAGCCAGAACCTAAGATTCCTGGCACTAAGGAGGAGCCTGTTATTCTAATGCACTACACTAGGCTTAGCTTTTGAACATGAAAACATTTGTCAGACCATAGAGGGTGTAGAGCAAAACTGGAGATACTTGTGGGGGTTTAGCAAATAACTGCAACATGTTAAGTGGGTAATGCTTTCTGCAACAGTCATGTTTGGTTTCTCCTCTAGGTGGAGCGATTCAGCCAAGAAGTACAGGTAACAGAAGCTCGCTGTTTCTATGGCTTCCAGATTGCTATGGAAAACATACATTCAGAAATGTACAGTCTGCTCATAGATACTTACATTAAAGATCCAAAACAAAGGTTAGTATCACATAATGAAATGTTCAAGTTGCTGTAAAGTCCTGGTGGAATCTAGTAGTGATACTTCTGTTTTAAGTCCCTTCTGTATTGTTTTAAGATTGAGAATTTAATTTAGACTGGTGAACATACCGTGGAGAACTCTGCAGGCATAGGGCCCTACCAATTTCATGGCTGTGAGAAAGTGTCAGATCATGAAATCGGCCCTCCCCTGTGAAATCTGATCTCCCCTCCTGCTGGGAGCCTGGGGCTTCTAGCTGCTAGTCCCACCATGCTGGGGTGGGACAGGATTTGTCCATCCCCTGCATGGCTGCTCTTGGTGAGGAGATCAGACCCACCCCCAGAGGCAGTGCAGAAATGAGGTTGGTGCACCTTCACTTCTGCGCTTGCAGCAGCCCAGAAGCTCAACTCCAGGCTTTGTCTTCTCTCCCGACCCTGGGCCAGCTCCTGCCACAACTCCAGGTCCTGGTGCTGAGCTTGGCGCTTCCTCCCACAGCAGCTTCTGCCAGGCTGGAGGCTTTTGCTCCTGGCAGCTTCAGCTGGGGCATTCTTGGTGTCTGTGTGCCCCCCTCTGACTCCAGTGCCCAGCCTAGGGGTTCCTCCTCCCATGTGGGCTTCTGCAGCCCAGGATTGGGGCTTTTGCCCCCTACTGCTTCAGCTGGGGATTGGAGGGTTCTTCCTCTGGGGCTGGGGCACCCATTTGTCCTGGGGGGCCCCAAATTGGCTGGGGGCTCCTCCCTTAATCTGTCCTTGGCATGGACTAGCAGATAGGAGCACCCGACTGGGGTGCTCCCAGCAGCATGGGGAAGATCCTACCCACCTCCATCTCTGGGAACATCCTCTAACTCTACAGGAAGCTAAGAGGGTGCTGCCTTCAGAAGGCAGCACAGAAGTGAGGGTGGCAATCTTGGGACCCCCACTACAACAACTTTGCATACCCACCCCATGATCCCATTTTGGTTCAGACCCAGCACTGAAATTTCAGATATGAACAACTGAAATTGACCAATTTTAAAAGCATGAAATTGACCAGAATGGACCATGAATTTGGTAGGGCCCTATATATTACAGAACAGTAAGGTGCAACAAACTGTACCAGAGGCTGGACTTTGAGATTAAAAGCAAAACAGATTTAACTTCAATAAGTGATAAATGAGGGGATGAAACAAAGTATGTAACAGGTGGCATAGTCAATCTATATAGATACTTAAAACTGGACTACACTCTAATATGAGAGGCACTTGCATTGGCTACTTGATAAGTTAAGTGACCTAGAACAGTTTCTATGGGAACCATTATAGCTTGTATCTTTTTGACTTGTACACTGAAATCTCAGGTTTAAAACTTGGTGCATCTTCCCATGTAATGGTTGTCTATGCCTGCTGTGTGGTTAAACTGAAATTATGTACTACCATTGTCAGCAAGTCATAACTATTTCTCAACCAGTCTTTTCTAATGTAGTAAACCATGCTCATTTCTCACAGCTACAGATACACACAGCTGGATGCTTTAAAACTTTGTCTTTGAGTTATTAAAACACTAGTGCTAAAACTGTCAACTTTAAAAACAAACTAAACCTTACCTTGGGTTGATGTAAACATATCAAAGTGAGCCTGAAAGATTTCAGAATTAAGTATGTGAAAATAAGGTTTATGGATTAGTTCTACAGTTTTTTAGAAAGCTTATCACAAGAAGACTTTGAAACCTGCAGTTTGTGCACCAAAATGTTTGAAAGGCCATGAGTACACTTCAGACTACAACAGGGATTGATGCACTGGAATTCTGGAACAGTGGTGGTGGGCTGATATAAGGGATAAATAGCACATATACAGTATGTCTATGCTGGGATTAGCACCAGTGTGGCTACACAGGTGACAATCCTTAATGTAGACAAGTTCTTAAATACTGGTTTCAAAATGTGCTGGTTAGTTGCAGGTAATTCAGGTTAATCAATGACAAATCTGTTATGACAGCTAGTTGCAAATACCTACTGCACTGGTGTGTTGACTTCTTCCCCTTCTAATGTACTATATGCTTTCCAGAGAATTCCTTTTCAATGCCATTGAAACGCTGCCCTGTGTTAAAAAGAAGGCTGACTGGGCCATGCAGTGGATTGGGGACAAACATGCAACATTTGGTGAGTGCATTTCTGAACTGTGCATTTACTGGATGCTAAATGTTTCCTTTCCTAGCAAGAGTGAAGCTTTCGATAGCCATGCTTCTCCACATTCCAAAGGATAGTGTGGCCAAAGGGCAAGTGATTATTTGCCTTCCTTCTGGAAGAAGGTTGTAGTCTCAGATAAAGCAAATTATTCTCAGAGGCTCCCCTTTGCTGTGATTGCATTTTTAGTTCCAACTGGTCCCTTATGACCAGTGTCTCTAGTTGGCAGTATGTTTTTCTGTAGCTGCTTGGAAGCATGTATAGTTATTCCTCCTAAGGAACTATGCTTCTGTTGAAGGATAAATATTTCATCTGCTTTATGGATTCTTGATTGCCTCACTTGGCAGGTGGGAGGCAATTGAAATTCCCATTATCCCTTGAGTATTAAATCTTTGCTCATATGTTCTCAGACCACTCTGGGTTCTGACTTGCAGGATGTCAAAACAGACTAAAATTGATCAGAATTTTAGTGTAACATGATAACATTTCAGGCCATGGCTACATCAGAAAAGAAGTGTTGAGGAAATCCTGGCTTACTATTTTCTTACAGCCTTGCACATGGGTTATTTAACACTTGTTTTTTGTAGTGAAGAAAAAGCCATTGTTTCAGTTCCAGAGAGAATCTCATGAATGGAAAACTCTCAGTATGCTTTGAATTTTAAGGCTAGGTAAACATTTACTTCAGTGCAAAACTTACACTAACGTTTCCTGACAGGAGAACGTGTAGTAGCTTTTGCAGCAGTGGAAGGAATCTTCTTCTCTGGCTCCTTTGCATCCATCTTTTGGTTGAAGAAGAGAGGGTTAATGCCTGGACTCACTTTTTCTAACGAACTCATCAGCAGAGATGAGGTGAGAGAACCTTGTAACAATCTCTTATTACAGTGCACCACAAGGTACAAATGACCTTATGTTTCAAAACAATTATTTATAATTCTTATGAATTGTCTGGTGCTAAATTAAATGGATAAACATTGTCTGGTGCTAAATAAGACTTGAATTGAGGCAGTGAGTGTATAAACTGTTTCCACTACAGTGGTGATTGGAGGGAAAGTCTAGTAAGAAGGCTGCCTACTTAATTGTGCACTTTGCCTCTCCATTCAAAAGCCAAGGCGGAAACTACAAAGTGACCCATTTTCTCTAGGGGAAAATCATCCTGGGGTTTGAGTACTAAGATGGTGTCTGATTCATGGGCTTTTAAAATCAGAGGCAAATTTGAAGAGGTGGCACTTCTAATCAATGTTCCTGAAATAATATCTACACATTCACCTTTTCAGGGTTTGCACTGCGACTTTGCCTGCCTAATGTTCAAGCACTTGATTCACAAACCATCTGAGGAAAGAGTAAGAGAAGTCATTACCAATGCTGTCAGGATAGAGCAGGTGAGCAGGTCTTCCTTGTTTTGGGTAGTAAATGCTCACATTTTAGCTTAAAAGACAGAAAACTATCAGGCCATGAAACTGCTCTAGATCAGTGGTTCTCAAACTTTTTTCCCACAGACCACTTGAAAATTGCTGAGGGTGGACCACCTAATCTTTCCAAATGTTTGTACTGTTAGCTAATTATTGTAATGCACTTTGGATAAAAGCACTATATTTAAAAAATTTTTGTTCTACAAATAAAATCACACAACTGTGATTTTAATATCAGTAGTCTTACCTTTCTAATGTGATGGATGTGCCCTCTCTGCACAGCACCACTAATTAGGTGGGTGGTCCTTAGTTCCCTCTAAGGTGTGTGCCTGTGTGGTCGCACATGAGAAAACTATCTTTGGACCACCTGAATAGTGGTCTGTGGACCACAGTTTGAGAACCACTGTTCTAGATAACAAAATGTTTGTATGCTGAGGCCTTCTGTACTAACCTCCCCTCTTCATATCTGCAGGAATTCTTGACAGAGGCGCTACCTGTAAAGCTGATTGGCATGAATTGCACTTTAATGAAACAGTACATTGAATTTGTAGCAGACCGACTTATGTTGGAGCTGGGATTTAGCAAGGTAAGATTTATAAGCAGTGCCTTTCATTGGAAAGGTTGCATTCATTTGATATTTCCTATGAATCTTGAATATGTAAAATGGCTTCCACCATTTATTGTGACAGTCTTCAGCTCCTGACTAAAAGCCAAGATCCTTCGAGCCAGTTGGTTGTTTCCACTGATCTTAATGCTCACTGTCCTGGATGGAGACCTATGTGATACATATTGACAAATAAACCGTGATGGAAAGAGGACAATTGCAAGAACCACTGTGCTTCTGCCTTTCTTTAGGAGAGCAGCAGATGAAAAGGCATCCATGCCTTGGATGCTGTACTTCTGTGAGTGGGAGGGGTTTCACATGCCAGATAATAAACTGAATTACTTTGCATTAAGTAAACTTAAACTGCCTTTCCCACTCCTAGTCCTCACTTCCCAGTTGATCCTTTGTTTTCATTCTACTCCCAGATGTGAAAACCCATTTGTGATTAGAAGTCTTGTTTTTCAGATATTCAAAGCAGAGAATCCATTTGACTTCATGGAGAATATCTCACTGGAAGGCAAGACTAACTTCTTTGAGAAGCGAGTAGGAGAATACCAGAAGATGGGAGTAATGTCAAAACCCACAGATAACTCTTTCACTCTGGATGCAGACTTTTAAATGAACTGAGACCACTTAAGATACGATGGGTGTGCTGTTTTGAATGAAAGATTGCTTTCAATATGAATTCACATTGTGACTGGATATTATACTGAAATCCCACTCTTGAACAGTGTGGGGGGTATGGTACTGTTTTGAGGAGGCTAGTATAGCTACAGCAGTAAAATTCTTTAATTAGATATTGCCAATGGTGTTAATTCATAGAATGCTTAGATGGAGTAACTTGTGTTATAAAATCATTTCCTGAAAAATCCTCAATTCTTGAAGTGATCTCAAATGCCATCCCTTGCAACAGGGAGGTTATACACAGATATCACTAGTTTCTGGAATTTCTATCTCAGTGCTGGAAGTGCTTGAGAAATGACAGTCTTAAATTAGATTTGAGAGATTTGGCTCTCAGATACTGTAGGGGAAGCTACATGACCTCACTGCTTCTTAGCAGGTTTTAAGTTTACTTTTTACTATTTGTAATAGTTTGTACATAAACCTGGCACTTTAATATTAAAATAAAGAACTCTGACGTAGTGTTTTTGGCAACATTAATATTGAAGCTTGAGTTTATACTAAACTTTTAGACATCGCATTGCATGATAACCTTTTTTGTTTTTATTCTTATTTACTTGTATGTAACTTAAAATGATAAAGCTTTGAATCAGACCTGCTGGTTATCCTGACAGATCTGTTAAACTTCTGGCAGTGTACAAATACAAACTATATGGAAGTTGAGAAGCTTATTAAAAGTCTAGTGTTCTAGGTACCAGAGGAAAAAAACTTATGCTGCTGGACTCTGCTTGAAATTGAAGCTTTCTTTCTTTTAGGAAATACTATTTCATAAGTGAGTTACTAAACAGGCAAAAAACCAAATTCTAGAGTTCAGTCACAGGCAACACTTCACTAGATACACTGATCTGAAGGGCAAAGCTGTGAACTGCTTCCTTGCGATATGGCATTAATCCATAAAAACATCTTTGTTCAAGGTAGCCTGCAAAACAAAAGGAGCATGGTCATAAGTGGCCATGCAGGGGCTAGAATGCCAAACCCACTGTTTTGTCTTAGCTTTGGCATCTGGTACCTAATGGATGCAGTGATGCTTTAAATTCATCTCAAAGTAGTTTAATCATCTATTTGTTACCACTTATTCAAATTGGAGCTCACTGAGTAGCCAAAGCTGAAATTGGACACATGCGTTAAATAAACATGGTTTCTAGAGGAATATGGCTTTTGTCCATATAGTTATTTACTCAATGGCAGAGTTTGGTCAACTGTCCAGATGAAATGGGACTTGCCCACAACAGTCTTTACTTTAAAGAAAACTGTTCCAGCTATTCTCTGGCTTAGAGCATGGTGTAGTGCTCTGATGTAAGTCATTTAAAATGACTCTTACGTGGAGATGAGTGCCCATTAAGGCTGATTCCCCACTCTGGCACTTCGCGTGCAGAAGGTGGGGGCCCTCAAAGACTCTAAAAATTAATACTTGCTGCTCTAGGCTTGTATTTCCACGGTTACAACTTTTCTCTGACCTTGAATTGGTAGAGGCTGTCACCACCCAAATACAGAACCCCTTTGAGAGCCCAGGAAGGTGCACTTGAGAATTCCTTCCTGTGGGGTACCCTCAAGCCCTTTCAAACCCCCCTGCTCCAGGGAAGAGCCGAGAAAGGGGGGGAAAAAAGGAAATCTGCTGTTGCAACCAGCTAATTAAACATGTGCACAAACCTCTTAAGACACAGAAATCCAATCCTGTTCTTAAAGGTAAATGTTAAATAAAAACTGGAAACTCACTATTGCTAGATTTTAAGAGTAACTTCAAGGATAAAAATCAAGAATAGTTTTCCTGAGGTCCAGTTTAAAGGTTACAAGCAAAACAAAAGCACCTGGGGTTAGCACAGAGGAGTCAAAACCATAAAGAGAAACCTAATCACATCTTCCTAGACGTTTCCTAATCTACCTACATATCTGGGGTTTCAAATGAGTAGTTTCTCAGTATGATACTGAGGAAGTGGGCAAAGTGACGTTTACTGGTGGGTTGGTCAGTTAACAGCAACTTTGTTTCCCCTATTGTACACCTAAAGTCTACATGGGAAAGTGAGATGTGAGCACTTCGTTAAGGAGGATTGTTTTGAAAGAAGCTTCTCGTATCCTGCTTTTTAATAGGAAATCTTGCTGATAGCACCTCTGTTTGCAGCTAAAGAATCTGTGTAGTACATTTTTCTTGGAAGAGAACTTCCCATGTTGAAACTTTAGAGCCCAAGAACAACTGGCGGGGGTATCTAGCTCAGGGTGCCCTATTGGGTCTGCAGACTTGCAAATTAACTGAGTGAATGATCACAATGATCTTTGCTCCTTCGCTGTTGATTACATTGAAGTGAGTGTGTGACTGTTCTCCCTTTGGGACCCTGAAACCAGCAAGATGGGCACTTTGAGGCTATCCTGGTGAGAAAAATCATAAATAAATAGAGCAGGGTTTGGGATTCAAAACCCCAAGGCAGCAAGGCTCTTAATAGGTGGCTTCAGCCTGAGCCTCTGCCACAGCAATATTGATAACAGGTCAGTAGTTGGAGTCGTCTGAGAATGGTTGGAGATAGGAATAAGGAGATGTTGGGTGAGTAATCAGTTGCAGCATTTTGAGTTATTACTTGCAGTAGTTATTCCACCCTGTGCTCATTTGTGTAGCTGTGGTTCTTTTAGGCAGAAAGTGCAAATGTCCTTGCTGAATACTGACCGCAAGTTTCCTTTGGAATTCAGGGTGGACTTAAACTCAGTAGCCAATAATACTTTGGTGTAGGCTTGTTCAGGATAAGGCTCCTACAGGAACTAATGGGAATCTAACCGTGACCATGTTGTGGTCTAAATGCCAAACCTAGTTCTAATAAGGCTTCCCCTAGAAATGCTACGTTGCCAGCTCCATAATTGGAGACTGCATGAGAATAAAGACAAGCAAAGCTCTCTTTTCTTGCCTTCTGGTAGGTCTGCGATTTCAGAGAACCCTCCACCATGTTATTGTGGCAGTGGGAATTTATTAGGACATTTGTGTCTTGAAATCCCCAAGCTGAAAACATTGAAGCCTGAGAACAATGTATTCTGAGTGGAAGTCTCTCAGCTTTGGGATTCCCTACCGCCAAGGATAGGATAAATCCAAATCTCTGTAGGGAACCAAAATAGGAGTCCTCCATTTCAATGGCTGTAATGATGGCTACAGAATGGGTTAGTACTATTTTTCTTTTTTCCATCAAGACCACCAAAAAGAACAATGTCACTTAATGGATCTAAAATGATTGACGGGAAAAGGATCAATGTTACTCTTCATTACTAATCCAGTGCTTAGATGGTATAGGTATGCCTACAGAGATTAGATAGAAATTTGATCACTTCTCTTGTCTGCCTAAACGTGAGCAAGAATCCATATGGTTAGTTTTGCTGCTACTGGGGCAGCATTGGATTCAGTTTTTTTTTTTTCTTGCTGTAATGCAAATCAGTACATCTTGGGGTGGTACATACTAAATATTTACCCTCTGGAGGATGAGCCCTTACATTCTTCTAACTTTCCACAAGTGCTGACATATTTTCCTTCTGCTGCTTAGCTCAAAGAGAGCCATGCCCAAGTTCTGTTCTTCACCCTGCTTCCTTAAAACACCGATCCACTGTAAGGAGATTACTTCGTAATAAATGTCTAGAATCACAATGGTCCACTGTGGCCTTGAAGTCTATGAGTCTGACAACTGAATGCCTTTTTTTAAAAAAAAAACAGACGATATCTAGAAAAATTTAGCTTGACTAACACTTTTCTTGATGCATCTGCATAGTATGTGTTTGGAAGTGCGTTTAAAGAAACAGCAGAGATGTGAAGGAGTGCGATGAAAGCTGTAGTTTCTTTTTTGGGTGTGAGAATTGAAACATCTATCTGGTAGGGGTTCTGGCAGAGTAATCACTTCAGTAGACAGGTGATGAGCATGGTGGAGGAGAAATACTTATAGATTCAAAAATATGAACCACTAGTCAGGGTGCTAACATTTGAAGTAGTCATTCATTTATCCTGAAGAATTGATCCTTAAGTGAAAATATGCAAATCCTCCATTTCTTTGATCTTAGTTCAAAAATTAATAACTTACTAGTAGCACAAAATTGAAGAGCAATGACTTTTAAGCCCACTTTCTTGTATAATAGAAAGCATTCTTTTTTTGGTAATATTTCCTATTTTTAATTTATAAATTATGCTTTAAGGGTGCATGCAAGAAAATTTCTAAATTTTTTAATGAGCACATCTTTCTCAAGTGAGACACTGAACTTTAGGGGATATGGACGAGTAACTCCAGATATCCATCAGCTTTGTCCTCAGGAAACAATTGTAACATTAACATTTAATGATGGCGGGGGGAAATCCCCAGATTCCTCAAATTTCCTGGAGCGATTGTGGCAATTTGTGCACTGTAGAGGTCAAAGAACAGCAGCTGCTGTTTCATACTTCTGCAGGGCACACAAGCCCTGAAAATCTATGGGCATATTAGGAAACTGATGCACTCCCTAATGGTAACCACTTCCTTTCACCAATAAATGTTCTGAATCTTTTGCCTGTCTGAAAGAGCTGAATGAATGAGGTTCACATTCAAAAACTGCTTTTCACTATCAGCAATGGCTTTTTACATTTTAATTAATTTAATTATCTTGCTTTTTTTTCTTTCTTTCCCCCTAGTGGGTTAGAGCGGAAAATGCTTCGGTTAGAAGTGATTTTAGAGTTGGTGAATATCCAGTATGTCCTGACTCTGCTTAGAGGAAACTGATCTTTTTATAGTAATTTACATATGTCACATTGGTGTGTCATACTGTAGAAAACAGATTCCCAGTATTGATGAGAAAGAGGCCTATAATCTCACTGATGCCATTCCCATTCCCGTTCCAGAATGTCTCCACCTGAAGATTAAATGGACATGGATTCTTTTCCCAAGTCTGGAGCGGGACAGAAACAATAACTCTAAGAGGTATTAACTGCCTTCATTCATCTCAGTGGGGGTAATATCCAGAATCCTGATGAGGAAAACTTGTCGATATTAACTATTTCACTCTTTAGCAGAAACATGTGGCAACACTGAAATGAGGTTTTTAGGCAGAGCATCGATTCTCCCTCTCCTTTGCCCACTCCCTCTTTTAATCTGATCATTGTTGATATTAAACTGGGTTGCAATTTGGAACTATATGTGAAATTCTAGTTCTAATGTATTGGCAGACTGATGGAGTTGTGGTTTTGATAGCTCCTGATGATAAGGTGATTGACTTTCATAGTGTGCCTTTAAATCTGATGGACTAGTATCTGATTTTAATGGGAGTATTCTGTACTCAATGGGGGAGAAAAATATGATCACGGATAAACGTACTATAATATGCTAAACAACCATAGCAGGGAATGTTTTGATCCACTTTCTGCTAATGGAAATCCTCTGAGACACATCAAAGATGAGTAAATGCACTACCCAGCGATGCTGATTTTGTGTGTGCAATTGTTATCCATTCCTTTATGAAGCTTCTTCAAATATTAAAAGAGAAAATATTTCTTCTAAAAAATGCCTTGGGTTAAATAGTCTTGTAATTCTCTTTATAATAATCTTTCATCCTGCTTTTTCTCTGGTTATACTACAGTATGTAACTTATGCCATAAGCAAGAGTGC